GACAAAATAAAAAAATCGAGATTTCTAGGGAAAAGCCAGACAATAAGTATAAAAATGTGTGCCTTAACCACTAAATGGAGAAATGACCATATCTCGAGCGATTAAGAACTCTGAACCAAATTCCACATATTCCTGGCATTCCCAAAGTCAGCTGTCAGAGGTGATGGTTCTGCCCCTACTGCTAGCAGCAGTGACCTCTCATACACTTGAACTTTCCACTGAATTAGTCAGGTTGTTTCCAAGTTTTTGCACTATTTATACAACCAGATAGGGAAATGGAAGGACTTTTACATTGTACATGAGCTGAGGAGTCATTTAAAAGTGATGCCAGACTATCAGTAAATTCTGCAGGAAAACAAACAACTCCTTTGTTTTAACCTTGGCTTCACTGCTTGTGAAATCTCACCAATTTAGAGAACAGTTGCATATGGGATGGAAGAATGCTTCAGAGCACTCCATATATATAGTACTAAATCTACTTAGCACTTAACAAAACCAAAATTATTTATGAGATTTAGGATACAATTGCAATTTAGTAGTAGAAAATCTGCATGAGAGTGATGGTTGTAAGAAGGAGAAACACTGACTTAAATAAACTACATATAGACATTAAATATAAGCCCATGGTATTCTATCATCCACAGATTTGGAAATACTCTGTCAAAGGTACACTTTCTAATAGTTTGGTATTGATATAGCAGATTTTATTTTCCAGAAATCTTACATTCTGAATGCAGTTACAATTGTAACATTCACAGCCTAATATTTCAGCAAAGGGTAATTTCTTATAAAAGAGAAACAAAACCCATTTGTTTTGGTATCTGGTGGATGACTTTGAACTTTGCAAATTAATCAAGACACTTAAAACTTCTATTTTTGGAAATTTCAATAAAGTGACATTCTGTCTATAAACCTGAACAGGGAGAGCATCATAAGGAAGTATTAGTGATGCTTTTTTTAGAATATGAACATGTTTGGGATTTATTCTCTGAAGAAGGACAAAATTTATTGTCTAAAAACAGCACCATTCTAGTGACTGCTTGAATAAATGGAGGTGATTCCTCTCTGTCAAGAAGTGACATGTGCTCTCAGGCCCAGATGGAGGTGAGAGTACACATTTCTAAGGGCTGAAGTCAGATCAGTGTCTTGACCTTACCTGCAGAGCAGCACAGGACTCCCTCTCTCTTCTGTCATGTTAAACTATTGTCCAGAAGTCAGTAACCATCCAGAGCATTCCTTTCTGCCAAAGAAGGATCCTCCTAAACCCATACAAACCCATGGGCAGCACACTTACTGCAGCAGGCATCTTGAATACTGAGAGGAGGAGATCCCTGCCCCTCATCGTATTCGCTCACTACTCCTTCACAGGTTTCTTGGACAGCAAAAGGGAAAGGCAACTCACACCCACAGATTTTTAGCAATTCAGCAGAAAGATGAGGAAAGGCTTATTCTGATCATTGATCTATCCATTGTTTTTCTCTTTTTCTTTTAACTGTTTATTTCCACTGGAAAGAACTTGAAGG